GGAGAGGGGTGCCTGTGGTTCCATCAGTTAAGCATCCCACTCTTGATTTCAGCTCAGGTCATGATCTCACAGTTGTGGGATCGAGCCTCGCATTGGGCTCCATGGTGAGCATGGAGCCTGTTTGAGATTCTCTCTCTCCCTCTCTCTCTAACTCTCCCCAGCTTGTGCACATGTGCACACTCTTTCTCTCTCTTCTCTCTCTCAAAATAAATATTTTTAAAAAGGAAGAAAGAAAATAGAAGTGGACAGAACACTTCTCAACTCATTTTATAAGGGCAACATTACCTTGTTACCAACGCAAGAAAAAAAACATTACACGAAGAAAGACCATAGGCCAATATCCCTCGTAAACATAGACGCACAATTCCTCAACAATTACTATTAACAAGCAGAAAACAACAACATTTGAAAAGAGCAATACATCATGTCAGGTGGGTTTATCTCAGGAATGCAATATCATTCCAACATTTGAAAACTAATGTAATTTACCATATTCATAGACTACAGAAGAAGTGTATGACATCTTAACAGATGCAGAAAAAAAGCACGTGAGAAAATTTAACATCTGTTCATGATGAAAAAATTTCAGCAAACTGGGGATAGAAGGATTGTCCTTAACTTTATAAAAGACATCTACAAAAACCTACAGTTAATGTAATACTTAAAAGACTAAATGCTTGAAGAGAAAGGCAAAAACTGATTTCTCTCAACATTCCTATTCAACAGCACTCTGGAGGATCCAGAAAGTACAATAAGGAAAATAACCAAACAGACACAAAACCAGATCGGATAAGAAATGACGTTGCAGACAACAGACAATTTGCATACCATATATATAGAGGCTATAAAGAATGAAAAAAAAATTCAGGAAATACTTAAGTATAGGTCTAACAAAACACAGGCAACATCTGTGTACTGAATAACAAAAATTACTGATGAAATAAAAGATCCAAATAGAGCTATGCCACATCCACAGACTGGAAGATTTGAGATGTGAAATATTCCAACACACTTCCCTCGAAAGTCCCAGCAAATACTTTTTTAAAGAAATCAACAAGATACTTCTACAACTCAAAGCAAAAGAGCTAGAATAACTAAAGAAAATTTGAAAAAGCAAAGCTTCTGTACTTGATTGACAGGCTTATTATAAAGCTAGAGTAATTGGGAACAAGTTGTATTGATACAAGAATAAACACAAAGATCAATGTGACAGAATAGAGTCCAGGAAAAGAAAAAACCCATTCATATATGGTCAATCAGTTTTTGACAAAGATGGAAAACCCAATTCAATGGAGAAAGGATTGTCTCCTGAACAAAAGTGGTGTTGGAATAACTGAGCATCCACGTTTTAAAATGAACCTACATTTTGTACCATGTACAAGTATCACAATGAATGATCAAACATGATCAATTCAAAATGGATCAGAGACCTAAATGTAAAACCTAACTTATAAAACTTCTGGAAGAAAACATAGGAGAAAATCATAGGGACCTTGGATTAGGCAAAGCTTTCTTCTGTATGACACCAAAAACATGATCTATAAAAGAACAATTTCAAAATTGACCTCATAAATATTTAAAATTTCCACTTGATAACTTGGTGAAAATCTTTGCAAATCACATACCAGATAAAGGATTTGTACTCAGAATATACAAAGAATCTGCAAAACCGAAAATGGTGTTCAGTTTGGTTACAAGTGGCAAGTTAAAGCTTTCAACATGGCTGTTCTTTCTCAGTTTGAGTTAATTTTCAGAGTTGGCTCTTGAGTCATCAAAGAAAAATGTTAGAAAATTAATGGCATTAATGAGGTCAGAAACAGTCAAGGAAATACAGAATATAAAACTTATCCCTTAGGTTATTGATTTACTATAAACAAAAAAAAAATAAAAGCCTGAGTAGAAATGTAACAAAGGCTTCCTAGATAAATCTGGTATTTTTCAAAGGATTTTCCATTCTTACATTCATGATTCATTCATGTGAGACAGGGAGAATGCTCTATAGAGCAATTTTAGGGGTTCTGGCCCTGCAATGTAATTCATGCAGATGGCAGTTAAAAGTAGCTTCAAAGTCTGTGAGAATGGAGTTCAAACTCTGGTCGTGCTATTTATTATCTACTCTCTCGGGGAAAATGATCTCTTAAAGCCTAAATTTTCTTACATGCAAAAATCGAGAAAAAAATAACGTGTATTCTTAGCACTGCAGGTTAATCAGACATTAATAATAGCATAATAGCATATTGCTTCTTCATAAATGGCCAGAACCTTGTATTAAAAAAAAAGTTTTCTGATGTTGCTTTGGGCATTTTTTAGACTTCCTGAAGGTTTAAAGTGCTCAAAGTTTTAAATCCTGTGGTTTGAGAAGTGCTAAATTGAGCTAAAACTCTTCTGTATTATCACATATTATGTATGTATCTCAGAAGAGTTTTTGAGAAACTGAAATTTGCTCAGACCAGACGATGGCAAACTTTTTATAAAGGCCCAGACAGTAAATGTTTGAGGCTTTATGGTCCATACTCTTTGCTTTCTCCTTACAATTCTTTACAAATGTGAAATTTCAAGGTCTCAGGCCATACAAAAATAGGATACAAGCCGGCTTTGGCCAAGAGCCTATAGTTTATTATTCTCTGGCTTAGAATTTAATAATATAAATATATAGTAATAATTTCATCTGTCGAAGATAATACCTAAATACCTACAGCTCTTACTATTATAGTTTTAATCCCCATAACAGAAGAGCTATTACCCACAATGAACACACAAGCTGCAGAACAGAGAGGTTAAGCATCTTGTCTGCACTTAACTAGCAAACAGCTCAACTGGACAAGTCTGGTTCCAGAATCTGCTTTTTAATTACAATATACTGCTTTGTAACCAACATTCTGGTTTGGTCTCTTTAACATTAGTTTCTCCTAAAATACTTGTTTTTTTTTTGTTTTTGTTTTTTTTTGTTTTTTGTTTTTTGTTTTTTGTTTTTTTTTCAAGAAGCAATGGAGGGGTGTGGTCCTCAATGGCCTGAAAATTGTCAAGCTCCTTCTAAGTATAGGGGGGAATGGGAGGTGAATAGTAGATGACATAATGCAGGGCTGGTCAATGGCCAGAACTGCTCCCCAACTCACCCTTCAAAGGAACTATTCCTTTACATTCGCTGTCCTAGTATCTGCAAGGGATCATTAACCGGTGGGTTCTCATCTGGATATGCCCATCTTTGGATTAATGTTTCTATCAGATACTTTTCTTCATGGTCCAACAAGGATATATTACTTGGTTTAGAGTTGGTGACCTGAAACTGGGAAAACTTATGGTGGAGACTATGCCATTCAAAAGTCGCTTCTAGCTTTAGTTGTCCAATACTCCATTCTTTTCCCGTGAACAACAGAACCAAGTTGTAGCTGGGAGTGCATGTCCATTCTCTTCAGTTAATATGTGGATGATACTGGGAGTAACATTTTTTATGCTTAGAGAATGAAGATGCAATTTGTAATGGGGCAAGGCTAGAAAGAACACTATACTGTTGAATTAAGAATTGGTGGTTCGAACTCATGGTTCATTCTTTCTACCTGTGAACATCCTTATCTACCTACCTATCATTTTCATCCCCTCAGTAGTGAGGGGCATATCTATTTCTCAGGCCTTAATTTCTAAATATCATTCCACACTGTGAAGAACAAGGTCTCCTAAAGAAATAACAGATTCCATGGCTGGGGTGGGAGACTACAAGATAAGTATGGGACATTATATTGTGCCAGAGTAAGGATGTGCTCAAATTTATGAAGAGTAAATAAGTAGGGGCACTGGCGAGGGGGGGGGGGGCGGTATGTCAGTTAAGTCTCACTCTTGATTTTGGCTCAGATCATGATCTCACAGTTCATGGGATCAAGACCCGCATCAGGTTCTATGGTGACAGCGCAAAGCCTGTTTAGGATTCTCTCCCACTCTCTCTGACCCCTATTCACCCGTACACTCTCTCTCAAAATAAGTAAATAAACTTTAAAAAAATGAGCAAACAGTACAGATATTGGCTAACATATGTTGAGGGAATGATGATGGTAGAAAACCACTCTTTTGCAACCATCAGTAAGTCGATTTAGGCCACATTTAGCAACGGATGCTAAAACTAGCGGACGAAAATTTGTTGAAAAAACAAGCTATTTACAGAACCAGAATATACCTCCCCACAAAGTACTAATTACAAAGGTAAAAACGGTAACTTTGCAGTGGAAAAACCCAGCTTACCTACCTTAATCGAGTTAACCAAGTTAACATCACCTATAATAGGACTAACATACCATGTTTCCTTATGTGATACACCAAGGACACATCACTTATGGAATCCTTATGCCAAAAAATGCATAATTTAAATCCAATAATGAGAAAACCTCACACTAATCCAAACTGTGTAACACTCAAAAATATCAAGGTCATTAAAAATAAACAATAAGGCAGTGATCCAGATTAAAGGAGTCTAAATGAAATGTATAAACGTTGACTAGATTCTAAACCAGAAAGAATGTGATACATTATCAGGACAACTGATAAAATTTGAATAAGGTTTGTAAGTTAAATAGTGTTATGTATCAGTATTAAATTTTCCTGATCACTATACTTGTAGCTGTGTAAGTAAATTAAATATCTTTGTGATTAGCACATACACTGATGTATTTAGCTGCAAGGGGCAAGAGGTCTGTAACATACTCATGGTTAAAAATTCTACGTGTACAGGGACACCTGGGTGGCTCAGTCGGTTGAGCAGTTAAGCATCGGACTTTGACTCAGGTCATGATCTCATGGTTTGTGAGTTCGAGCCCTGCATCGGACTCCGTGCTGACAGCTTGGAGCCTGGAGCCTGCTTTGGATTCTATGTCTCCCTCTCTCTCTGCCCCTTCCCCACTAGTACTCTGTCTCTCAAAAATAAATAAACATTAAAAAAAATTGTTTAAGTTCTATGTGTACATACAGATATCAATATGTGTGTATATACACACATTCACATACAAGGAGAGAATGATTCAAACATGTTAACTCATCAATCTGAATAAAGGGAATACAAGAGATGTTATATAACTTACATTTTTTGGAAAGTTTGATATTATTTCAAAATAAGAAATCTAAAGAAATGCAAAAATACTTATGAAACAAAATATCATCATTTAGCAATAACCAGAAATACCTATTCATCTATACCTTTTCTAATGAGATCACACAAAATCCCATGCCTTGTTTTTTTCAGGTTAACATATTCTGGACATCTTCCAATATCCCGAACTACAAATTTAACTTTTCCCATCTGATGTTTCCCATCTGCATAGTGTCCTACTGGATTAATAAATCATAAAATACTCTATCCAACTGATTGTTTGTTTCCTATTATAAACAATGATGCAATGACCATTTTTTTTTATACATCTGTAGCAAATACAAATTTACTTCTGAAGATCAAAGCTTCATCCCAGGGGATCTATTCCTTAATTTTAATCCAATATACCATATGAAATAAAGCAATCATAGTATGAATTCTTGGTTATAGGAAATTTAGGTCAGTAATTTTATTCACTTTTCACAGCTTTACAGCTTTAGTAAAAATAATGGTCACTGTAAATAAGTATAAAATAAAAGTTAAAGTAATCCAGAAACCTCCCCGACCCCCCCCCCCCCCGCCAAAAAAACTAGCTAGTATATATATGGCAAATATCCTTTTCACACAGTATCTTTAGGCATGTATTTACTTTTAAAGACTATAGCAGATGGATCTTGCCAAGAGGGTTACAAGCTATTCCTCCCCCTTAATATTAGTTCCATTCCTGGCATTATGGTTCCACGTCATCATTTTAACGGATGTTAGAAAGATTCCATCTGAAGAAATCCCTTTCCACTCTCAATACTTGATAGGTTTTCACCAGCAACGACCCTCCAAATATGTGACGACGTACATCCTGACAGAAGCCATTAAGACATTCTTCACTTTTAACGATTCTTGCCAGTGTGGACTTTCTGATGGTACGTGAGACGTGAAGGGTGACTGAAGTCCTTACCACATACATCACATTTGTATGGTTTCTCACCAGTGTGTACTCTCTGATGGGCTTGAAGACGCGAACTCTGACTGAAGCTCTTACCACACTCTTCACATTTAAATAGTTTTTCACTAATGTGAACACTCAGATGGACTCTCAGATTTGAGGGGAGACTGAAGGCCTTACCACACTCTTCACACCTATGGGGTTTCTCTCCTGTATGGACCCTCTGATGATGGCGAAGGTTCAAGCTCCTCCCAAAGCCTTTCCCACACTCCTCACATTTGTAAGGTTTTTCTCCAGTGTGGCCTCTCTGGTGGTATATAAACTGTGAACTGTATCTAAAACCCTTTCCACAGACATCGCATTTGTATGGCTTCTCCCCAGTGTGGACTCTCTGATGGGACTGGAGACCAGAGGACTGACTGAAGCCCTTACCACATACACCACATTTGTACGGTTTCTCTCCAGTATGGACTCTCTGATGTACCCGAAAGTCTATGGCCTGACTGAAGCTTTTGTCACACTCCTCGCATTTATAGGGTTTCTCTCCAGAGTGGACTCTCTGATGAGCATGAAGATTTGATCGCCAGCTGAAGCCCTTCCCGCACTCCTCACATTTATATGGTTTTTCTCCAGTGTGAATTACCTGGTGCAGTTTAAGATTTGAACTGTAACTGAAGTCCTTACCACACACATCACATTTGTATGGCTTCTCTCCAGTGTGGACTCTCTGATGGGTTTGAAGCTTTGATGACTGGCTGAAGCCCTTCCCACACGTTTCACATCTGAATCGTTTCTCCCCAGTGTGGACATTCTGATGGACTTGAAGATTAGAAGCCTGACTGAAGCCCTTCCCACACTCCTTACACTTGTAGGGTTTCTCTCCTGTGTGAACTCGGAAATGGATATGAAGATCTGTATTACGGGTAAAGCCCTTCCCACACGCCTCACATTTGTATGGTTTCTCTCCAGTGTGGACTCTCCGATGGCATATTAGCGGTGAATTGTGACTGAAGCCCTTACCACAGACGTCACATTTGTAAGGCTTCTCCCCAGTGTGGACCCTCTGATGTATGTGATAGTGTGCAGCCTGAGTGAAGCCCTTACCACACTCCTCACATTTGTAGGGTTTCTCACCCCTGTGGACCCTCTGATGAACACGAAGATTAACACTCCAGCCGAAGCCCTTACCACACTCTTCACATTTGTATGGTTTTTCTTCAGTGTGGACCCTCTGATGGCACTGAAAATTTGAACTCTGGCTAAAGCACTTACCGCACTCTTCACATTTGTAAGGTTTCTCTCCGGTGTGAGTCCTGTAATGAATGATAAGGCCTGTGCTGCTACTGAATCCCTTGCCACAACTGTCACATCTGTAGGACTTTTCCCCTGTGTGGTTAGACTGATGAGGATGAAAAGCGCTCTTACCGAAGCAATCGCCAGGTTCATGACATTTATTGTGTTTCTCTCTTGGGCGAATTCTCTGAAGAGCCTGCAAGTGTGGACACCGCCTGGAGCATTTCTCTCCTGGGTGAACGTTGTGAAGTGGAAGCACTGAGCTATAACTGAAACCCTTTCCACACTCACGACACGGAAAGAGATCCCCTCCTGGGGGTACATGTCGACTGAAACCATCGCAAATGCTTTTGCCGCATTCATTGTATTTATAGGGTTTCTGTTCTGTGTCAGTGCTAATACAATCACTAAGTGATTGCTTCATGAAGGCCTCACATATACTCAGGTTATTTTTCACATTAACTTGCTGACCTCTACTCTGCTCCGGTGACTCACACGGGTAGGTATTCCCACAAGAATCCTGAGTTCTCAAAACAGATACACCTGCAGTGTAACTGGAGCTACCTGCTTTAGGATTCATTCCATTATTCTCACTTTCAGAAACGTGAACAGAATCACCGTGGAGTAACTGGGAACGCTTCCTCTGAAGACAGCTGGTTAAATCACTTGCCACCTGCTTCCAGATTTGCCAGCAGGATAGTTCTTCGTGTGAAAGGTATTTTAGTGCAACTTTTCGAAGAGTCTCCATCTCCTTTTGATTCTTGCTGCCTATAAGAAAAAGCAATATTCAGAGATAAGGACAAGTGAATGCTCAGGTCCAGAAACGTCAGGATTTCACATACAGGCCCTACGATAAGGCCTCCACAAACCATGGGGAGGGTCAGGTCTATACAGTATCACGTAACCTTTTATGTGTTTCCATGCAAGTGGAAGCAAAAAATGGGGTCAACAGACTCTTAGCCACTAAGTGTAAATGTAACCCATTTTAGAACCATAAATTTCATAGATTAAAATGAGAGCTTTGCCTGGGTGGCGCAGTCGGTTGAGCGTCCGACTTCAGCCAGGTCACGATCTCGCGGTCTGTGAGTTCGAGCCCCGCATCGGGCTCTGGGCTGATGGCTCAGAGCCTGGAGCCTGCTTCCGATTCTGTGTCTCCCTCTCTCTCTGCCCCTCCCCCGTTCATGCTCTCTCTCTGTCCCAAAAAAAAAATAATAATAATAAATAAACGTTGAAAAAAAAATGAGAGCTTTAAGTTTGAAATCAAATGACTGCAGGGCAACAAAGACAAGCCACATTCTATCCTCCAATAACATCAATTAAAAGCCTACTCACCTTTGCCCTCGTAGGCTTATGGTAAGAGGCATCCTCCCCAGTAAGATTAAAAAAGCTTATAGGCATTAAATAGTATTTTAGGTCCTGGCAGAAATCACACATAGTAAGGACACCACTGTATGAAATGCTTGTTTCAAAAAAAAAAAGGAACAAAGAAAGAAATGCTTGTTTCAGTTCTAAACACACACCTAAATATTATATTTATGCTGGATAAAGATGTAAAATATCTGATCGAAGGTCATGGCTAAAAATGTATGGAAGCCACTGGCTTAAAATGTTTGAGTGGGGCTGGGTACCAAAAGTCCTTCATTAATTTGCTTAAGTGGAAAGTTACATTCTAATAACATAAGCTGAAAAATCTCAACAGGTATATATACACTTCTAGGTATGTTAGGGGAAGATGTCCATGCCCTAATCCCTGGAACCTGTATGTTCATGTACGTAGCAAAAGATCTTTAGATCTGATTAAATTAAGGATCCTGAGATGGGGAAGTTATCCTGGATTATGTGGATGTGTCCAAAGTCATCACAAAGGTCATTATCAGAGGGAGGTGGGAGGGAACCGTCCCGGGCCTCACCCTATGCATCTCTGCCTTTTGCTGGTTCGGATTTGCATTCTTTTCGGGGCACCTGGCTGGCTCAATCGGTTGAACACGTGACTCAATCTCGGGGTGTGAATTCAAGCTCCACGTTGGGTGTAGAGATTACCAAAAAAAGAAAATCTTTTAAAAAATAAATAAATAAATAAAAAGGCTGAACCTCACTCCTGAGGCTAAGTCTGCAGGTGAAAACGAGACCCAATGAAGGGAAGCAAGTATCCAACATCCTGAGCGCATCAACCGTGAAGCGACATAGGAAGGAGAAAGGACAAAAGAAGGGGTACATCCATCACTCGCTCACAGAATTCATTGCCTTCGTATTCCTTTGGTTATAATGCAGTTATAATTGTAAGTACAGAGCTTTCCTGTGTTCTGTCATTTTAGTGAATGCCAGCTGGGTCCTAAGAGGGTGGCCCTGGAGAGCCCAGCTGGTGTCTGACGTCTCGGTGGGTGGTCTCGTGGAGGTCTGTGCCCTTAACCTGTGACGCTGGAGCTAACTTCGGGTGTTTCGTATCAGGACTCACTACAGCATGTCAAAAGGCTTCTCACATTGCTCTATAGTATCACTAGGATGCAAATTACACTGGAAAATTTAGAAAGTCTGTAATTTTCTTTCCCGTCAGGACCCTTCTCGTGTCCACAGGTACGTATACCAGTCTTCTGATGCCTGGAAATGTCCAATTTGAAACTACTGAACATCTACCATATATGCGTTCTGTGATCGTTTAGGTGTTAGCGAGAGGGGCAGGCGCTCAGCTGGGAAGCTGGTGGCTTCCATTCATATGTAGACAACCTGAGCCTCTTCCCTGAGAACTGATGAACTGAAATGCCTTGCGTCCTTGGCACTGATAATTTCTGACAGTTTAGTTATCCATTCTGATAACTGGGAATAGCTTTTATCTTCTAAGTTTACTCAGTATAAATCTTTACATATTCCAAGACATCTTAGAAATGAGAACTATGGTAGACATTCACTGGGAGACGATGTTCCAGAACAATCCATTAGTCACATTAGTGTGCTCTAAACCTATGAGCCACCTCTAGGAGTGACAGAGATGGGATGCGATGCCCACTTGTCTCCACTATCTGTAAGCTTTTTGTTTTTAAGAATCTACAAAAATAAGCCCTTTAATTGGTCCTCTTGTGACCTGCAAAGAGCACTTTAGCACAGTTTTTGTACGTGGGGCATGGCTGCAAAATCCTGAAACATGCTGATGGTGAAGAGGTCAAAAAACCTTTGAGACGAGGTGACAGCAAATGCTACAAGATCTGTTAAAAGACAGACGTGGTCTATTATGCAAAACTGAGAAGTGACAATACTCAGGGTCGGCATTCCTGAGGTTGAGTCTGCATGTGAAAACGAGACCCAGCGAAGGGAAGCAAGTATCCAACACCCCGAGCGCATCAACCGTGAAACGACACAGGAAGGGAAAAGGACAAAAGAAGGGGTACATCCATCACCCGCTTGCAGAATTCATCGCCCAACTTATCACGTTTGCAGACAAGCTACTGTTTCATCTTCAGGCAGAGGGAGAGCCTATGAATTTACTTGATCTAGGAATATCTAATTTTTAACTTCTAAATGGGTAGAACTGAGAAATATGCCAATTAAAGAGAAAGGACACTAGGGGAGAGAAAGGAAAGGAGATCGAAGAGTGAAGTGAAAGGTGAAGGAGAGAGAGAGGGCAGGAGAAAGGAGGGTGGTAAAAGGCCGGGCAGGAAAGTAATCAGCCTGTCTGGGGACACGGACAAGGCATTCTTCCCATCCGGGAAAGGCTGCCATTGAAAGGCTGGTATCGCAGCTCACTTCTACAAGAACAGTAACTAGGTAACTGACGTACTCACTTAACAAGCACGTATGGGGTCACCTTCTGTGCAGAAGGCCCACCCGAGGCTTTGAGTAGACACAGCAGATAAAACTGCCCAAATTCCTACTTCCTGGAGAGATAGAGGACGCGCAAGTAAATAAAACTGTTACCAGGTCAGGAGGTGATCGGTGCTTAGACACAAAATAAGGCAGGGTGAGGGGATGGAGAAGGGAGAGGATGACACATTAAACAGCAGACACAGAAGGCCTAGCTGATGTAGGTGAAACCCGAGCAAAGACCTGAGTAAGGGAGTGGCTGCGGACTCTATGCCCAGGCAGAGGGGGAGCCAGTCAAAGGCCCTGAAACAGCAGACGACACTCCAAGGGGGCCAGGACACCAGGGATGATGGAATCCAGGGTAAAAGCAAGGCTGATCATAGAGGAACCTGGTGAGGCATCCAGATGAGGTAGGGCCGTGCAGGCCGCTGTGAGGACACGGAGAGAAATGGGAAGTCTCCGGAGGGTTTTTCAGCAGGGGAACGGCGTGATCCCACTTGCTCCCTAAAGAATCACTCAGGTCCCATGTTGAGAACAGATGATAGGAGTGCAAGGGAGGAAGGCAGGGAGACCAATGTGGAGGCTGCTTTCCCAGTCCAGGCAAGGGATGACAGTACCCGGACAAGACTGGTAATCACGGGCGTGGTGAGAAGCAGATTAGCTGGTACCTGAAGGAACAGCCACATGGTTCTCACTGGAGTATCCATTTCTTTGGGTCTCTCTTTCCATCATCCAAAGCTTTTCTTCTGCCTCCAACTGGGACATCATATCTGGCTTGAAGGGAAGATGTCCTATGAAAAGGCAGATACATATTTTTAAGATGAACACAAAGCTGTATTTTTGTCCAAATTCTACAATCCTTAGAACCTCTAAAGTGACAATTTAAGAACTTTTTTGAGGGGCGCCTGGGTGGCGCAGTCAGTTAAGCGTCCGGCTTCAGCCAGGTCACGATCTCGTGGACCGTGAGTTCGAGCCCCGCGTCAGGCTCTGGGCTGATGGCTCAGAGCCTGGAGCCTGCTTCCGATTCTGTGTCTCCCTCTCTCTCTGCCCCTCCCCCGTTCATGCTCTGTCTCTCTCTGTCCCAAAAATAAATAAAAAACGTTGAAAAAAAAAATTAAAAAAAAAAAAAGAACTTTTTTGATCACAAACCATAAGAAATGGATTGAGGTCATGACCTAGTCCGTGTCTAGACAGAGATAAAATTAGATCTGGCCAATGGCTGTTCTCATCCTATTTCCCACTCTCACACCACTCACTGCAAATGGTCAGTTTGTGCCTCAACGTGAGCAGGTCTTGATAAGGAACTTTGATGGTTTCTGCCCTTATTCTTGTTTATTCTATTTCACTAAAAAATAAAATTCCAGTACAATGTATTAATTCCATGACCCACCAGTGGGTCATAGCCATAATCTGAAAGATAAAGTATTTGAAAAGCATAGAAGCCAATTTATAATTTATAATTCCCAGTTATAGTTAATTTTTTTTAATTTTGTTTTTAATGTTTATTTATTTTTGAGACAGAGGCACAAAGCACGAGCAGGGGAGGGACAGAGAGAGAGGTTAATACAGAATCTGATGAGGCAGGCTCCAGGCTCCGAGCCGTCAGCACAGAGCCCAATGCAGGGCTCGAACTCACGGACCGTGAGATCATGACCTGAGCCGAAGTCGGACGCTCAACTGACTGAGCCACCCAGGTGCCCCTCATTTATAGTTAACTTAAAGAGGATTTCTCAACTGCGGCACTATGAATATTGTGGACCAGCTACTTCTTTGTGGTGGGGGTTGTCCTACACGCCGTAGGTTTAGAAGCATTGGCAGCCACTAGGTGGCAGTAGCACCCCTCCCCTCTAGTTGTGATGATCAAAATAGTCTCCAGACATTGCCTAATGTGGGGGGGGGGGAGGGGGGGTGTGTGTGGAATCATCCCTGGACAGAACTTTGCCTGAGCAGAAAGACCAGGAAAAACTATGCCTGCAGTCCCAGGGATTAGAAAAACTTGTGCTTTCAAGGTCAGGGAACCATTTTAAAAGGTCCAAAGCTTTGAAATGAGGACATGGGCTCTCAGTAGGGGTGAGGTTCAGTGTCACAGTGCGCCTGTTCTCACCCACTGAAAGCAGGTTCTCGAAGTTCTCCACCATCACATCTCGGTACAGCTTCCTCTGGGCAGAGTCCAGCAGTCCCAGCTCCTCTATAGTGAAGACCACAGCCACGTCCTTGAACGTCACTGCCTCCTACGACATCAAACACACACAACCTCGATCCCATAATCTCCACTGGAAAAAAGCTGGGATTGAAAAGGGTAAAGAGGATTACCAAAAATCTTGTTGCTGATTTGAAGGGAACCCAGGCAGATTTCAGTCCCAGAGCTGTCCCCCATTCACCGTCCCCTCCCGATCACCCCACAAAGCTTGGATTCTGTCCCTGCAATTTCCACAGGCCTTTGGCAGTCCTCCAGGACAGGCACACGGCTTTCTGTGTTCAATGCACATGCCGTATCCACCTGCGGCATTCACAGCTGGTGAAGGCACAGACTGAGTTCAAATTTCAAAGTTTTAATTACAGGACCTTGGGGGAAATTCCATAACTTGCCACTATCTCAATGTCCTCTGTTCTTTAATGGTGTCTAAACCACAAGGTGTTTGAAAACGTTGGATGAGTAAGTGCATGTAAACCACAGAGAGTGGTGCCTGGCACATCTCAAAGTGCTCAATAAATGTGAACAACTACTATTATACGGTCTCATTCCATTTTGCGACCAGAGACTCTAACATTCCTTAGAATTTATGATTTGTCTTTAATCAATACAAATCATGTATAATTAGTTCCAGATTTTTATTTTGTATTTACTTTTTCAGTTTATTTATTTTGAGAGAGGGAGAGCATGCACACCCGAGTTGGCGGAGGGGCAGAGACAGAGGGAAAGAGAATCTTAAGCAGGCGCCACACCCAACACGGAGCCCAACACAGAGCTCGATCTCACGACCATGAAATCATGACCCGAGCCAAAATCGAGAGTCAGTCGCCCAACCGACTGAGCCATCCAGGTGTCCCATAGTGACAGATTTTTAATTTTAATCAATGCTGCAAAGATCCTTTTACAGAGATTTTGGCTAAGAGCAGCAATTGCAAAGTCACAGGATAAACACTTCCAGATTTTTCAAAGAATAGCAGATTTCCCTCTCAAAAGGTTTTCCCAGTTCACCTTTCATGCAAGAGTACAAGTGTTCCTGAATCTCTAGACTCTGGCCAAAGAGGACAGAACTCCTGTTTAAAAAAATCTTCGACAACCTAAGTGATAAATACACAGAAAGACTTTGTTCACATCTGCATACGTTTACTTATGAGTGACCATTATTTTCTCCATAAATTTGCCTTTTTTATTTTATTTTATTTTATTTATTTTTTTTTTCAACGTTTATTTATTTTTGGGACAGAGAGAGACAGAGCACGAATGGGCAAGGGGCAGAGAGAGAGGGAGACACAGAATCGGAAACAGGCTCCAGGCTCTGAGCCATCAGCCCAGAGCCCGACGCGGGGCTCGAACTCCCGGACCGCGAGATCGTGACCCGGCTGAAGTCGGACGCTTAACCGACTGCGCCACCCAGGCGCCCCTAAATTTGCCTTTTTTAACACTCCATTTCTTTTACTCATATACCAATTAGGTTTTTCTTTATCATACTAGCCTTTTTTTTTTTTAATGTTTATTTATTTTTGAGAGAGAGAGAGAGAGAGAGAGGGAGAGAGAAAGACAGAGCATGAGCAGAGGAGGGGCAGAGAGAGACAGAGACACAGAATCTGAAGCAGGCTTCAGGCTCTGAGCTGTCAGCACAGACCAGAGCCCGACACAGGGCTCAAACTCACGAACTGCAAGATCATGACCTGAGCTGAAGTCAGACGCTTAAACAACTTAGCCACTCAGACGCCCCTCTTACTAATCTTAATAGAGTTATTAAGCCTTTCTTTAATGTATGTAAGTACAGCTGACCCTTCAACAAGGGTTTGAACTGCATGGGTCCACCCTATATACAGATTTTTTACAGTACTGTAAATGTATCCTCTCTTAAAATTTTCTTAATAATGTTTTTTTTCTTCTAGCTTATTTTATTGTAAGAACATAGTATATAACATATACAAAATATGTACTAATCAACTGTTTATGTTATTGGTAAGGCCTCTGGTCGACAGTACGCTTAAAAGATAAGTTTCTGGAGAGCCAAAAGTTAATATGTGAACTTTCAACTGTGCAAGGGGTTCAGCATAGTTTGAGGGTTGACTGTAGATCCCACCAATGCCAATACTGCAAATACAGTGTTAGGAATGCAAGTGAAAAAGGAATGCGGGAAAGTGCAAAGAGCTGGTTTGTAAGCAAAGCAGGAGTGTACATTACTTTTGTCTATTTCAAATTGCTATTACTTTTTTCAGAGATTGTTTTGTGAAATAATAAAGATAAAACAGCACACACACATGCACACAGAGTCTGGCCAGAACATGCACTCAAAATCTGTTGTTCTCCACTAACCTTTCCAAGGAAGAGAAAAAAGGATGTGCCTAATCTCTGAAAAGTAAAAACACACCTTGGGAGCCACAAAAGAATGCCTTATTTACCTGAAACTTGGTCATTTTCTCCTGCTCCTTCTCGGAAAGGTCAGAGTCCTGAGAAGGCATAACTGGGGAAGGACAAAGAAGCCATGAGATGCAGGCCAGGGCGGCCATGAGCCCATGTGGATCTTTGCAGAAATTATACGAGAGTTCTCCTACTTCCAGGCAGTGGCAGTCACATACAGCATGGTAAGGAAAGCATGGAATAGATTCCAACTACTAATAAGTTTGTTAGTCAGGGGCCACTGGACAGTCAATAGCCTGCAGAATCAAACGCAGTAACCCTACTATAAGAATTTTCCATTCTGGGGACAGTAGGAAATGAAGGGCATTGGTAACAACATGTATAGGCTTAAAAAAAAAATGTGGTTCTAAGTCAAAGGCCTCAGTTTAAATCCTGGAAATGATACTTGCATCTATGTAATGTCAGGGGTGTTAAAGAAAAAACTCTGTGTGGTCATCTGCACGTGAGGACAGGATACAAACTGCAAATCATACTCACCTCATAAGGTTTTCCCCGGATTAACAGCAGATGGAAAGTTCAAAGAGCCAGGAATCCTTTTTTCCTGCACCTGCAAAAAAGCAGATGATACTTTGCATTATAAACTGTATTTGCACAGGTCTCTTCTCAAAGCAGCAAAAAAGACCAGAAAAGTACCTGGACTTCATAACGCTCTCCTATGAAACTCACCTTTCTTCTCTGAATATCCTCATTTTGACTTAAAATTTTCTCTTAACAATTCTTTCCCCGGGGGTGCCTGGTGGCTGGGTTGGTTAGACATCTGGCTCTTGGTTTCGGCTCAGGTCATGATCTCCTGGTTAGTGAGTTCTAGCCCTGTATCAGGCTCTGCGCGGACATGGCAGAGCCTGCTTGGACTTCTGTGTCTCCCTCTCTCTCTGCCTCTCCCCCACGCATGCTCTCTCTCTCAAAGAAAAAATAAAATAAACATTTAAAAAATAATAATTTGTTGCCCAGCTAGTAACATTTCGACACTGGTATTAGTTTTCTAAAAAACATCATTTCGAGTGAATTTCCTTCATGAAGTCAATAAAAGGCTTATTGGTAAGAGCCTTTTAATCCTATGTGCATAGAGATAAAGAAAGATACAAAATAAAAATCAAGAAACACAGAAGACAGATTGAGAGGCTCCAACATTTGTCCAATAGGAATATGAGGAAAAGAGAATGAAAGAAATGGCAGAGAGGTCTTACTTCAAAAGATAATTGTGAGGGGCGCCTGGGTGGCGCAGTCGGTTAAGTGTCCGACTTCAGCCAGGTCACGATCTCGCGGTCCGTGAGTTCGAGCCCCGCGTCGGGCTCTGGGCTGATGGCTCAGAGCCTGGAGCCTGTTTCCGATTCTGTGTCTCCCTCTCTCTCTGCCCCTCCCCCGTTCATGCTCTGTCTCTCTCTGTCTCAAAAATAAATAAACATTAAAAAAAAAAAAAAAAAAAAGGTGGTGGCGTGGGGGCGCCTGGGTGGCTCAGTCAGTTGAGCATCAGATTTCGGCTGAGGTCATGATCTCACAGTCTGGGTTCGAGCCCCACATCCGGCTCTGTGCTGACAGTGCAGAGCGTGCTTGGGATTCTCTTTCTCTTCCTCTCTCTCTGCCCCTTCCCTGCTTGCTCTCGCTCTCTCTCAAAAAAAAAGAAAACAGTCTCAGAGACAGATAACCGTTTTTTATCCCAAAGCAGTTGCGAGTAAGTAAAAGAGGAGTAAGAAGAAAGGAGAGCGAAAGGAAGAAATGTAAAACGTGGTAAACTGAAAAATGAAGACATATTTAAAACATATGCGCATGTGGTATAAAATCCACACTCACACCTACCAACGGGGAGATTAAACACCGGCAGGCTGATGCGACAAATATTTGCACATTTTCCTACTGCGAATTTACTGACTGAAAGAAACCTGATGAACTGAAAACAGAGGACAGGACAAGAAGGTACCTTCGCTGGTACGTACCCGGGGCTATGCCGTGGGCAGCCAAGAAGTCCGTCCTTTCTCCCCTTTGCGACCCCAGGGACGCGGAAGAAAGGGACGCGGTGGGACGGCACGGCTGGCTCTGTCTCCGGGATCAAGCGTAGCGGACATCCCCAGGCGCTAGCGCGGGGTGCCTCGGAGCTTCCTAAAAGAGATCGACAGAGCTGGGGAAGACCTCGGTGCCCGGGACGATGACAGCAGGGCCACGCTGTCGATGCCCCTAGAGCCCTGAGCTCCCTGTCTTCACTGGGGCTTCCAGGCAAAGGGGCGCTGGTGACCGAATTGCTCTAACACGAGCGAGAGCCAACCCGTCACCCCGTGCCCCGCCGTTCTAAGCTCTGGACACGTACTGTCTCGTTCAGTTGGAATCACAACCCTACCCAGTAGTTTCTCGCTCGCTCGCTCGCTACCGTACGGAGGAGGAAAGTAGAGCGCAGAGAACTCGCCGGGTATTGTACCGATAGAAGTAGCAGCGCTGCTCGGTAAGTGGGGGAGGAGAGCTGAGGGAATCCAAACTTCTGCCCTCCGTCTCTCGGCCTCCGCCGGCGGCCGCGACTCCTCCATCCTAAAAAGGCCGCCTCGGTAGCGACTAGTCCCACGCTCAGGCCGAAAAGGCTCGGAGGGGTGGGGGGGAGCAAGACTGACTCACCTCCCGACCGAAAAGATGGTGGCAGCCTCGCTTTTCCGGGGCGGAAGTGCCTCTGCCTACACGGCGCCCCAGAACTACACTTCCCGGAAGCCCCAGGGGGAACAGGCGGCGCAGCGGCCCCTTGTTTCCGGAAAGAGTTCAGGACTACATTTCCCAGAAACTCAAAGAGGAGGAAGAACTTTGCCCGCCCGCCTTAGGCCACTCCCTTCCCTTCCAGCAAATCTCCCAGCTGGTAATGCGAGGACTACAAAGATCAGAAACCGCTTTACGGCTTCCCATTTTGCCGCCCTAAAGCTGTTCTGTGACGCCAGTGAAACTGAGTTTTTCCCACTGACAGACAAAACGTAATTAGCAAATAGTTGAAGAGTCAGAGACTTAAAAACAGTTTGTAAGAAGATCACGTGATCCTTTAATAACGAAACTGTATCTACTACTAGACGAGAGAAAACGATAGCCTTTACTTTGCAGTTTCAGACACTTTTTAGATATAAAAACGAATGAAAGACCAAAAAAAATGAACGCAAAACGTATTGTAGATTTCAACTTTTGTGAATAGCACAAATAATTAAGAACTTGGCTACTGAGGACAGCCAGACATACTCAAGAGCAAAAAGACAAGCTTCAGCATATTTGTATGATCAATTTCCCAACCGGGGGGAGGGGGGGTGTTGTAAACATTCCTCAGAGAAATTTCCGAATTTGAGGATGAATACATTATTAATTAGATTTTTATGCAACAGTCACTGTAAAACTCTTGTTTGCTGATATCTATGATAGAACAGATGTTTCAAAGAAATGAGGGTGGAGAGCAGAGAGGAATACCTAAAAATATCCACATATCCACTACAATATATGTTTGCATTTCTTATTTACTGAACATGTTAGGCAGGAAAATAGGCATGAGCGACAGGAGGATGGACCTTAGATGTCCTGACAGAGACCCCCAACCAAGGACCGCCCAGGGACCACCCCATTCCATCCACCTAGCAGTAAGTTTGCGTTACAACATCCCAGCAGAGGAAGAGTTAAGTTTGTTGCACTTGTGCAGAAAGCAGCCTGTTGTCCTTATTTAGCTTAGATCTCTAGAAATATGAATAGAAATAATGTTGCGGTTTCCTTCCCCTGCAAGCATTTTGAATACATACTGGGAAAGGACATGTGTAGCTAATTAGCATGTAATCCAGGCCCGTCACTCAAATGTTGAGATCCAAGGACCCTCCAAAAGAAAAAATTGATATAAGCACATAGCCCAGAGTTTCTGTGGGGCCATTCCTTCTGTTATACACCACTGTTTCTTGTGAAGTACTTTGTGCATGCTAGGGACTATTCCAAACACTTGAGACTCTGGGATTCTCCATTCACAACTGTCTTTTTGAGGTAAATACTATGATTTCCTCCATTTTACAGTTTAGGAGGCAGAGGCAGAGGAAGGGTAAGTACTTTGTCCACGTTACTAAATTAGTAAGTGCCAGTGCCAGGTTCCAAAATTTGGCATTTGACACCCAGAGCCTGAGTGCTAACCACTCCTTAGCCACATCTCGTATAATCAACACGAACAGATACTCAATTTCAATCAATTTTTTGGCCTCCCTGATGCCAAAGAGATAGAACATAACATGGAAATTCAGTTATCTTCACCTGCATTTCTATCCAGTGCCCTCAAGGCAAGTCACACAAACAGGAATCTTCTATGTTGTTTTCCTCTTCAAACCCATCTTCCACTCATGTCCGGCCATGGTGAATAACTTGTACTCCTACAAAAAGCCTCTTTGTATCTACTGTTCATTACATCACACCCCACTGCTCTATTCCCTTCTAGGGTTTAGTCTTCATCTACAGCTTAAATCTTCCCTGTTCCCGTAAGACTTCTTGTGGGTTTTGTCTCATACATGAATAAAAGCCATGTGTAATAACACAGACTACAGATTTGGAATCAAGATGCCTGGGTTAAAATTCAGTTCTTCCACTTATTCTGTGAACTCTGTTCCATGTTTATTCACTTGCAAAATGGAAATAATACTATGACTGATATGATAAACAAATTAGTAACTACACTGAAGGGCACTGGAAACTCTACCTGACTCATAACCACCCTATAAAAAGCAAATATTATCCTCAGGTGACGGGAAACATGAATAAGGGATGAGTGATTTAGCAACTTTGCTTTAAGATCATTAAAATTAAGAGCAGGGCGCCTGAGTGGCTCAGTTGGGCATCCAACTCTTTTTTTTTTTTTTTTTTTTGAGAAAGAGAGAGAGAGAGAGAGAGAGAGAGAGAGAGAGAGAGAATCCCAAGCAGGCTCTGCAGTAGTAGTGGGGGGCTCAACTCAAGAACTCAGCTCAAGTTTGGGGGGCTCAAACTCAAGAATTGTAAGATCATGACCTAAGTCTAAATCAAGAGTCAGACACTTAGCCAACTGAGCCACCCAGGCACCCCAAACTCTTTATTTTCAGCCCAGGGCATGATCGCAGGGTCATGGGATCAAGACCCACATTGAGCTCCACGCTGATAATGGGGCCTACTTAAGATTCTCTCTCTCCCTCTGCCCCTCTCCCTGGCTTGTTCTTTCTCTAAAGTAAATAAAAAAATAAAATAAAAATACATTTTTAACGTTTATTTATTTTTGGGACAGAGAGAGACAGAGCATGAACGGGGGAGGGGCAGAGAGAGAGGGAGACACAGAATCGGAAACAGGCTCCAGGCTCTGAGCCATCAGCCCAGAGCCCGACGCGGGGCTCGAACTCACGGACCGCGAGATCGTGAGCTGGCTGAAGTCGGACGCTTGACCGACTGCGCCACCCAGGCGCCCCTAAAATACATTTTTAAAAAGAACTATTTCCTATGTTTGTTTGTTTTAATGTACAGCATTGAGATTAAAAACACAGACTTGAGGCTGTAACACCTTGGGCTCGAATGGCAGTTCTGCCTCTTAAAGCGTTAAGTTTTGGGCAAACAGTGTAAACTCACAAAGAGTAAATGAAAAAGAAAAAAAATAATTTTCCTTGTCCAAAAGATGCATTTTCTCTGCCCTTTTTCTTAGAGCATTTCCATAGGAAACCCAGTGCTTTTTGGATCTTTTTTCTGACCTTTAAATACATATGTAAATCTTGTTAGAGGCTAAGTAACTTCTTACCAAGTTTCCAGAAGTGTTTTTCAAAGGTCTGGGCTTTGTCCCTTTTAAATGTAAATGTCCGGGCAAATAATCTAGTGTCCCTATCACTGTGGGAGTTTAACCAAGATTTCTTTCTCTGCTAGCAAGGGAGATAAGATACATTTCATTATTCCCTCGGATAAGGTCAATTAACTAAGAAAATTCCCAAGAAAAATTAGCATAAATTTATCAACGAATTTGCAGCAAACGGTGTAATCAAGCCCTCTTATAGGAAGATAAGATATCGTTAATCCTGAGAATACGTGTACCTAGTAGTTAAACATTTAACAGTATAAAAAGCTTGTAACTGCTTGCCTGTATAAACAGGGCGAAGCTTCTTTACTTGTAATCTCTTCCCGCAAATTACCTACAAGACGGTACTCTGAATATGAGTATTCAGTAATAAGCTTACTTTTCTACATTATGTAGCGAGAACTTTGTGTTAGTAGGAGGTTGTATTTCCAGCTACCTCTGCTGAAAAAATAAAAGGCGAATAGCATTACCTGGCTCTTAAGGCTGTTGAGGTCATTTCATAAATTAATTCGTATAAAAATGATGAGGGACCACTATACCAATGACACTACTTGAGAGATGAGCATAATGAGACCAAGAGAGATTAGGTAACTCGCATAGCGTTGTTCTGCTAGGAAGTGGCAGCGCTGACTGGTAGGTGAGGAAAGCCGGCTGGAGCGCCAGGAGACCCGCAGACCAGGCGACACGGAGACCTGGGCCGCCCCGACCCAGGGAAGCCAGAGGCGCTGCAGACGGGAGGCTTGGAGAGGGGAACGCAGACCTCTTCCAACTCCACCCTCCGCTGCCTCGGGCAGCTCCGGGCTCAGAGAGCTCCCTGGGAGGGAAGACTCCTCTACTGGACAGGAAGGTGCGCACCAACCTCGCCCTCCTACCGCGAAACCGGCTCTTTCCGACTAGAGGGAGCTCATGGGCCACTTCCCAGAATTCCCTCGCCAGGCCTTCCAGAAGCGGAAGTGCTCCAGGCTACATGTAGCCCAGACTACATCTCCCAGAATGCCCGAGATAAACGATGCCCTCAGCTCCGCCTCCTAAAGCGGAAATACTTCCGGGTACCCTGAGCGGCTGGGTATTAACTCCTTTAATGCCAGAGTGAATCTTGGCGGAATTGTGTCATTTTAGACTGCAAGGGTCTTCCACGGTGGCTCCTACAGATTCTGTTGTTGCAAGCTGATCAGCACTTTAGTCGCGTTCAAGGCGCTCGGAAGGAGGTCGGGGTAGGGCAGTGAAGAATCCCAAAAAGCTGCCCTGTAGGAGTAAAAATAAGAGGAAAATGGATTGTCTTTGGTAGAGACCGAAGACAAACTCCAAATCACCTCACTAATTGAAATTGGATTAGAGTGAAACGTTTGTTACTGTCTTCAACCACCTAGCAAAAACAAATGAAAATCTTTTCTAGAGAAAGAGAGCATCATCCTAGGCTTCAAATTATTTCTGTAATACTAAAATGTATTAATAGTGGGCAAAATAGCCCTTGGAGATAAAACCATTATGAGGCATGGAAAGAAACACTTCATAAGTTTCAAATTATCAAGAATAACAGCTTTGCATGATCAAAAGCAAACTTTAAAAAGCAAAACTGACAGAATTATAGGGAGAAAAACATTCACAATTAGACTGGGAAGTTTTAACACATATTTAGGAAGAATGTAGAGTCTGGAGAGCATTTACTAAAACAGAAGAGAAGCTGAAAATTAAAATGGAAACATCCATCTCAGGAATTTAATAAACAGAAAACAAAAACTATAGTAAGTAGATGGAAGGAAATGATGAAAATAAGAAATTCATGAAATAGAAAACAAAATAGACTGAA